GATCTGCTAGCTGCTGACGACGAACTCAGTCAAGGCCTGGACCAACGTACGCGACCATCCACGTCTGCTGACATTGACGACTGACGCACTGCAGTCGCCAAACACCAGGCAAATCACATCCGCATTCAAAATCTCCGCGCAGAAGCCGATGCGCTCGAAGACCAGCTCAAGACGTCCGTCAAGAAGCTCGCAGAACTGCGCCATGAGCTCTTTGACACGACCGTGACCACGTTCCCCGAAGACTCGCGCGCCGTCCCATTCGATGAACTCCTACAATACGCGACCAACATTTCCCGACACACCGTCCCGCCAACCTACCGTGAACCCGTACCTGCCGCAGACAAGGAGAAGGAGGATGATGAGGTCGGCTCAAGCGGCATTCCTACTAATGGCCTCAACACACCTGCTCTCGCACCGGAGACAGTAGCACCAGCAAGTGAAGCTGCGCAAGGGCAGAAGGAAGGCGAAGATGCTGCTGGCCCCGCGCTCGAAATCACCCCAGAGGAAGAAGAATGGTTGAAGAAGCTCAAGGCTAGCAATCTGCCATGGTACCCGTGGCCCAGCAACGAGAAGATTCGCGCGGGCGCTCTATTCAGCCTCCAGTACTGGCGTGAGGTATGTTTGGCACGTCCAAGATTCATGCAAGACACACACTGACTCCTATCTCCTTGTGTAGAAGGGCAAAAACCTGGACGAGTTCAATATACCTGCACATTTGGACGCGGCTAGGGAGAAGGCGTTGCAAGAGCAGGGACAGAGCGAGGCGGCTGCACAAGACGCGTCTGCACAAGATGTGGCTGCACAGTCTCCGAGCAGACCAGCTCAAGATCAGGCTCCACCTCCAACGACATACCGTCCAAAGCCAATCGGAGTCTTCGAAGGCTTGGATGAGGATGATGACTGATCAGTTTCAAGGGATGGACTTGATATGTACACCTTGAACATACGTAGAGCAGACCAGACCAATTTGATACCAAGGTCGTCACTTTTGACGGTAATGACTATGATATCTTCTCTGTTGTGTGATACAGTGCATTCACGCCAACCTAGGAAAAAACTGAACAGCCTAGAGCCTACGTTGACGTTAGGTCACCTACTTTGCAAGGTTATGGTTTAATGTAGCCTGCAGACCTGTTCAGTCTTTTTCTTGTATAAGGTGCATTGCATGATGTTCTAACTAAACCTACGTACTCCATTTCTAATTGACTCAGTAGAATATCAGACAGCACATATGTGGTGCAAGGCTCCGCTAAATGTAACGTCGAATCTCCCGGGTTATGCATAGAGTATTTGTGCTTCCGACGTCATGCAGTTCAAGTGGATTTCGCGTTGGCTGGACCCTGTCCGACTAGTCCATCTTCGGTTAGCATCCAAATTTTCCTAGAGCCGTGCTCGACTTTTCGCGGAAGTCGCGTTGCGACAACACCCAATACACTCCCCAGGAAATCAGTAAAAGATGGGCAGCAAGTTACCCAAGAGGGAGCGCGAGGTGGATCAAAGCGAGAAGGTTGAAGAAGCTCCGGCGAAGCGGCGCAGAGAAAGCAATTCGGACAAGGTGAAGCTCTCTAAGCTTTACGCAGACCTGGCAGCCGAAGAAGACGATGTCCGTCTTGAAGCCGCCAAACAGATCATCGTCAAATTCTCGCCCGAAAACAAGCCAGAGCCCAAAGATGTGGAGGACGCGTTAGTACGCCTGATCAAAGGTCTTTGCAGTCAGCGCAAAGCAGCCAGAGTCGGATTCTCGCTCACGCTCACCGAATTATTGCGACAACTATTTGCAATCAAACAGGATGCTATCGAAGGTTCGCAGCTTGATGTTGCGGCTGTCATCAAGATGGTAGAGGAGAAGACCAAAGCCAAGGGCAACGTGCCAGGAAAGGTAGGAACATGGACGCGCTGGATGTCGCAATGCTAACAAGTACAGGAAAAACGGGATCACACCATCGGAAAGCTTTTTGGGTTCAAGGCCATCATGCAATCATCGATCCTTATCGAACCAGAACTTTTGCTGGATGCCTGGAACAAGCTCTTGGACAATGTTTATCGAATGGCACGCGACATTCCCTGGCTCCGGGAAGAATGCGGCATGGTCCTCGTCGAAGCAGTGAGGAGCTTGAAAGGTCAATCGCGGTACCAAAAATGTGTCGAGGAGATACTCGAACGTCTCAACACGTTCAAGCTCGTTTCTACGCCTGAAGGCGTAGCTGTGTGGCTTACCGTCCAAGCAAGCTATCCAGGAACATTGCCTGAAAGCGTTTGGCACGACAAGGATCCTCTGGCAAGGAAGGAACGCTCGCGACTTGCTAAGATTCTGAAGGAGGACTTCAACAAGAACGAATCGGAAGATGGCGAAGAAAAAACCATTAAGACCGGAACCACGAGCTCGAACCCGTCTTTCGCCTGGGACTTGGTCTTTGCCGAGATCTTGCGAAGAGATGAACACAGTAAGAGTAGTTCCAAGGATAAGACAGAATTCCCGCAGTTCTGGATCGATACTGTAGACAGCAGTCTGTTCTCTTCCTCGGCATCCCATGAACGTAAAGCCTGGGGATTCAAGCTGTTGAGCAGCATGATCACGCGTGTACCGGAATGGGCTGTCTCTGCCTTGTTCAGCCCCAATCTGATGCGCACCCTGATCAACCAAAGCAAGAAAGAAGACCGGTTTCTTCATTCCGCCGCGTTGGCTGCGTTGAGTTCCGTTCAGCTCAGGGTTGAGCAAGAAGATGGAACAGCACTTCCCATCTTCGTCGCATTGACCTCAAAGCACGGTAGCGTCGAGTTTGATCGGATCACCAGGACCAAAACGCTGGAGCAGATTCTCGCGTCTGCAGATGACAAGAGTTTGATGAAGATCATACGCCATCTCAAGTCGTTAATCCTGCGTCCTGAAAGCGAGGAACAGACCGTTGCAGACAGCCGTCGTCAGGCCATTGCAGACCTGCTTCTGAACACGATCAAACAGTACAAGCGATACGAGAAGTTCAACGAAAAGACCTTCAAGAAAGACATCGCTCACCTACGCGAAGGTGGCGCTGCAGAAGACCGAAAGTCCAGTTGGCTGCGGGAGATCCTGGAGACACTGGTGGAGTTTGCCTACTTCATTCCCTCAAAGAAGGCGGATACGAAGAAAATGCCTCTTCCACCTGTCAGTGACCGCAGTCGGACGATGTTTCAAGAGCGGTTATCATCCTGTTTGGCGAAGTTATTGGACGTCAAGTTGGGAGCTCGGTCAGATGTTGCCTTTATGGTGTTGGACATGATAAGAGCCAGGAATGGCAAGTCTGCAAAACTGGATCTTGCTTTCAAAGCAGATGAATCGGTTCTGAGTACCATGGAGAAGGCGCTTAGTACTATTGACGCCATCTCTGCGACAGTATGTATACTATCTCCTGCTATTTTTTTCGTTTGACTAACGCAGTGTCATCAGGGATCAATAGTTGGCAACGAGATGGCAGCACAGGGCTTCCTGCTTCTGTACTCTCTGACCCTCTTGCAAGCCTACAACGGCGAGGGCGATGCTGTCATGATGCTCGATGACCTCGATGCTTCCTACAAAGCCTTCGAGGCGTCACGAAAGGCGTCATCGAACAAGAAGAAGAGCAAGGCTTCAACTTCCGATGGCCAGAATGCTTTCGTCGAGATCGTACTCTCTTTCTCAGGAAACGAACGAACGTTGTTCCGACGAATCGGAGAAGAAGCTTTCTCTATATTCGCATCCGAGATCAGTGCCGAAGGGTTGCGCTCATTGACTGAGATCCTGGATACCGAAGAGAACCTTGAAGGGCAGAAAGAATTGTTCAATCAGGGTGATGAAGACGCGGAGGAGGAAGGCTCAAGCGATGACGATGAGGACGACTCAGACGTTGAGATGGTTGATGGAGAAGAGCCGGACAGCGACGACGCTTCCGAGTCAGGTTCTGATGATGACGATAGCGACGAAAGTGAGGAGGAAGACGCAGAGCTGACTCAGTTCGACAACATGCTCGCTATGACCCTCCAGACCTCGAAGCCGACCATCGACGGAGAGGCGGCAGAAGAAACATCCGACGAGTCAGACATGGATGACGACCAGATGATGGCGCTTGATCCACATCTCAGCAAGATTTTCAAGGAGCGCAGCAAGACAACCAGCAAGAAGAAGGAGCGAACGGACGCAAAGCAGAATGTCGTACAGTTCAAGTCAAGAGTCCTGGATCTACTTGCTGTGTACATGGAGAAGCAATACTCCAACGCCCTCACTCTGGAAATCCTTCTCCCAGTACTCCGTCGCACCCGTGCAAACGCAAACAAGCAGACGGCAGACAAAGCGGCCAAGATGCTAAAGTCGTTCTTCGACACCCGCACGAAGCGCAAAGCACCTCTCCCGAAGCCGGAGAACGTCGAGGATGTATGGGAGCTGCTGAAGGGTATTCACGAGGAGGCGAAGCTAGGAAACGGCTCAAAAGTCCATGCAGATGCATGTGGTTCCGCCAGTCTCCATGTCGTCAAGGTCCTTGTTGGTCTTGACAAGGGAAACTATGCTGGTGTGGTGGACGTTTATGCTGAGACGCAGAAGCAGTGGTTTGCGGACAAGAAGTCTCCGCTACAGCCTGTGCTGTTCACTCAGTTCCAGAACTGGTCTGTCAACGCACGGCAGCAGGGGAAATAAGTGATCATGTATAAGTACAGGCGCGTAGTTCCAATAGCATATCTTGTGTAAGCCTCGATCTATGGAATTGTTGAGACTCTTTCAAGTCCAGCATCCTCTCCATGAAATCAAGCCAAAGGAATGATAATACAATTTTTGAACTTGTTTGAACTCAGACGTGACTTCTGAGCCAGAGTGGAGCTGTCGCGTGGTGACTACCTTGCTTTCGGTAGTGGTGGCAGGTATCCACTTTTGTTTGCCCCGCCGCGGGGAGGAGCTCTAGAAGCCTAGCCTATGTCATAACAACCGAATTTACGTGCAAACCGTCGCGACTTTCTACACCGTACCTTGCCCACATCAACTTTGACCAAACATGGCCTGTACGCACGTAAACGCACCCGGTAAGCACCCATATCTTTCACCCGACTCTATTCTCATGCAGCAAAAGAAATGAAGGGTGGCAAACATGCTTCAGGCGACTTCATTTGCTCTATGGCTACATCCTCACCCTAGACAGTACTAACACGTCTCAGAGCTTCACCCACCAGGGCCAACGCAGTCTGTATACCGGGAGGACTGTACCCAGTGCTTTGACTCGATCGACGATCCCACCGGCCTCGACGTGTGCCTCTACTGCTTCAATGGTGGATGCACGAGCGATCGCAATCATTCCCTCCTCCACGTGTCGTCCACGAACCACCCCCTCGTCCTCAATATCAAGCGCACGCGAAAGAGGGTCAAGCGCGATGAGCCTCCTCAGAAGATGACCAAGCTTGCCGTGGCAGCTGAGACCGAAGCAGACCGCTACGATACTACGACACAAGTCAAGTGCTACGAGTGCGGGGTTGACGATGTAGACAAGAGCTCGGGGAAGTTGCCCAACATTGTGGACGCAGTTCTCAAGGCGAACACGTTCGCGAAGCAGCAGGAGGTCAAGGCGTGGGAACAGGAGCTGACTGCTTGCGAACATACCCTTTGTCTGGAACAACAAGCGGCGCGACAGATCGAGTCGCAGAACCTGGGACACTGCTCGGAGTGCGAGCTTAACGAAAACCTCTGGCTGTGCTTGACGTGCGGCAATCTGGGTTGTGGTCGTCAGCAGTTCGGTGGCGTTGGTGGCAACTCACATGGTGTGGGACATACCAAGTCGACTGGTCATCCTGTCGCAGTCAAGCTCGGGTCTCTCACCGCGGATGGCACGGCTGATATCTACTGCTACGCCTGTGATGAAGAGCGCATCGATCCAGAACTACCGGACCACCTAGCACACTGGGGCATCAATATCAAGGACAGGGTGAAGACTGAGAAGAGTCTTACGGAGATGCAGGTCGAGCAGAACTTGCGCTGGGACTTTGCTATGGTGACCGAAGACGGCAAGGAATTGCAGCCATTGTTCGGACCAGACTTCACAGGATTGAAGAACCTGGGCAACAGCTGCTATCTGAACAGCACCCTGCAGGCCTTGTTCTCCATTCCAGAGTTCAAAGATCGTTACTACCTTCCCAACGAAGCTCCCCCGGAAACGCCACTCCCTGCCGAGGATTTGGAAACTCAAATGCGCAAAATCGCGGACGGCATGATTTCAGGTCGATACTCAAAGCCAGATAGCGACGTCATCACCAACGAGCACAACCCAGAGGTTCCACACCAGCGCGGCCTCGCGCCTGCCATGCTCAAGCACCTGATCGGACGAGGCCACGCCGAGTTCTCAACTATGCGACAACAGGACGCGTTCGAACTGCTTCTACACGTACTCCAACTTGTTTCACGCAGCAAGCACGTTGAGCCCCATAAGGATCCGGTCGGTGCTTTCCGCTTTGCTATGGAACAGCGGTTACAGTGTGTCAGTTGTAAGCGCGTTCGATACAAGACAGACGAGCAGGAGAATATTTCCATTCCGGTCCCCATCCGACGGATACCGAAAGACTCACAGATGGACATCACCAACAGCGACGGCAAGAAAGAAGAAAAGGAAGAGTTCGAGCCAGTCACGCTAAAGGAGTGTCTCGACATCTTCACAGCCGAGGAGCTGGTTGAGCTTACTTGCGGTGCATGTGGCAGCAAGGATGGCTTCACGAAGAGGAGCATGTTCAAGACCTTCCCTTCAGTGTTGGCCGTTAACGCTAGGCGCTTTGAACTGGTTAATTGGGTGCCTACCAAGCAGGATGTTCCTGTCATTGTCAATGATGAACCTTTCTCCTTCGACGCCTACAAATCAAATGGTTTGGTAGAAGGTGAGGAGCTCCTCCCGGAGGATGTAGACACAGGAGCGTCCGGTGGTTCGAAGTGGTCGCCTAACGAGGCGGCACTTTCAATGCTTGAGGCTATGGGATTCCCTAGAGTTCGATGTGAAAAGGCTCTACATGCTACTGGTAACGAAGATGCCGAAGCAGCGATGAACTGGTTGATTGGACATATGGAGGATCCAGATATTGACGACCCAGTCGACTTCAACGCTGGTTCTGGTGGAGGCGCAGCCGCTGCATCTGTTCTCGACCCTGAAAAAATCGAGAACCTAGGAGCTATGGGCTTCAACGCTCCACAGGCACGCCAGGCTCTGAAGGAGACGGGTGGTGACATGGAGCGCGCTGTCGACTGGCTGTTCAGCCACCCCGATGCACCGGGCGATTTCGACGAAGGCGGTAGCTCCGAGGCACCTGCGGAGCCAACAGAGAAGAAGTTGGCTGGTAGTGAGACGCTGCCTGCAAACTTCCAGCTCCAGTCGATAGTATGCCACAAGGGTAGTTCGATACACGCCGGGTATGTTTTCCGCATTTGGACCCTTGTGGAAGGAGATTCGCTAACACGCCACAGACACTACGTTGCGTTTGTGCGCAAGCAGTTGCCAGGCGAGCAGGCTGCATCATGGGTTCTGTTCAATGACGAGAAGGTAGCCAAGGCGGCCGACATTGAAGAGATGAAGAAGTTTGCCTACGTGTATTTCTTCCGACGTTTGTAAGACAGCGGGTCTAGGTCCCTCACCACGGACTAGCATAGCGAAAGCGGAGTTGTGTCGGGTTAGCATTAGCATTGATGAAACGGCGAAACGAGAGCGGATTGGGAGCATTGCGGCGCAAGCTGCTAGATAGCATCAGCATAGCCGTAGGCGATATGAATGGAGCTGAAGTTCCATCTGATAGCAGGACGAACGGAGATAGCACTCGTTCGCCGGTGATCTGGAGCGGTTCTCCGAGATGATTCCATGATAAGTGTGGGGTATGTGTGCGCACGGACATTACGTCGCCGGCGGCCGGGCGTGGCTTTTCATCATTACTTCAATTGTCCGTCGCCATCCACCTCCGCTACACCTACACCAACATCCAACTGCTACCCGAACTATTGCCAAAACTCACCAAAGATACTACCAAACCTCAAAACACCACACACATCGATCGCCACCATGTTCAGGAGAGTCGCAGCAGCAGTGCCCGCTCAGGCAGGAAGAGTGCTCGCAACCGCCGCCAGGCCCAGCATCGTTTCGCCCATTCGCACAGCAGCACCCGCAGTCTCAGCAGTCAGTCGGCGGCAATACCACGAGAAAGATAAGTCGCTCCCTCCTCTCGTTCGGAAAATGGATGTGGTGGCGACACGGGAGTCCGATCGGAATCACCTCGTCATCGCACCACCATCTCCGACTAATTATATCTGAGAACGCTCAGCTAACATTCGCAGCACTGCTCGACCACTACAACAAGCCTCGCAATGTTGGCTCCATGTCCAAGACAGACAACGATGTCGGTACTGGTCTAGTCGGCGCACCCGCATGTGGCGACGTCATGAAGCTCCAGATCCGTGTCGACCCCAACAGCAACACCATTAGCGATGTCAAGTTCAAGACCTTCGGCTGCGGCAGCGCGATTGCGAGTTCGAGTTACCTGACGGAATTGGTCCGGGGCATGACACTGGAGGATGCGTCGAGGATCAAGAACACAGAGATTGCAAAGGAGCTTTGCCTACCACCTGTAAAGCGTGAGTATCCCACAACACGAAAGCGAGAATCAGGACCAGATTACTAACTGCTTGCAGTGCATTGCTCCATGCTTGCTGAAGACGCTATCAAATCCGCCATCTCCAACTACTACACCAAGAACCCCAACGCACGGCAAACAGACCTTGGCGGCAAGTCGGCGCCGCTGCCAAAGGTGGAGATTGAGACTGTTTCCTCAGCGACGGCTTAGGAAGGACGATGACAATGATGATGTAAATTGATACCAAGGGGATGAGAAGGATGGTTGGAAAAGGAAGTTTCCTGATATCACCTGCATTCAGTCTTTCGCTACTCAATGTACCGGGTATGACTTGGGCGTTTGAGCGTTACGGCGGCTGGCTTCCTGTATAGTAGGCTGAGAGTACATATGTTTTATCGCAATGAACAAAATTCTTAATGCGAAGCCATGGGGTTGAATTGTGATGTGATGTATAACGAATGGACAGTCGAGGCAAGTGCTGTAGAGGGTGGACTTAGGCCTATCTGAATTGTAGTACGCAACAGCGGAAGTCGGCTATGTGATCGTCTTATGAGCTGAGTGTCACGCCATGCAGGTGCTCTACATCTGATTATCCTCTGCATCAGATGATGCATGTATCAACGCGTTATGCAGCCTTGTAGCGTCTTTGTAGATCAGAATCGCATGAATCCAGTCTCACGTAGATCATGCTCTAATTATGCGAGCGATGTTTAGCCGCCCTCATGAAGTTTAGGTAAAAGTGAAAGGGCTTATGACGCTTTGGACCCTTGCGTGGTTCACGCCTCGGCCTAGGTCGTCCTCCGAAACTCTACGTCCCCAATCCACGCTTCACTCCCGACTGTCCCGTAACTGCGCAGCATGTCGACGGCCCAAGAAGACGAGGCAGTCCCCGCTATACGATTCAAGCGCCGCAAGATCGCGCACCCGAAGCGCGTCTATACCGACGACGATGCGCCTACTGTTTCCGCCTCGCATACGCCCGTTGCCGCGACTCCAAACGACGCGCCTGTCTCGCCGACCGAAGGCAACGATGAAGAAGAGTCGGTGCCGAACCTGAAAGAGATATTGCGCAACCGAAAGCGGCCCCGCGACCGACTGAAGGAAACTACGCGCAAAGCAGAGCCGCCGCGGACAGAGGTGGTGCAAGTAGAAGCACCCCGGCCAGACCAGTATACTAGCCGCTTCGTCGCGCAGACGGGACAGGTGGTAGATCGCGATGACAAGCAGATGTGAGTGGACTCTTCGCCAGATTACAGCAGGCTCGAATGAGGGCACCGTCAAGCATGGAGGCTAATGTGCCAGGTCGGAATATGTAGAAGCCCGCATGGCTGAAAAGAACTATCGCCAGTACGGCTGGCCCATACCAAACCACCTCCAGGCTTCCGTAGCCGCCATCGCACCAGATCTGCGACATACCTTCGCCATCAGCTCATCGAAACAGGGCGCGACTAGTAGCACCGAGAGTCCCGCGGATAACGAACATAGCAACCGGTTGGCGGCAGGCCAGGGCAAGCTTCAGGAAGTAGACCTGGGTCCTGATGCTGCGGCGCGCACCGAACAAGCCTGGAAGAGATGGGACAAGGGCGAGCCGGAGCCACCAGCAAGTAAGGCGCGACGAGACAAGTACGGTTACGCGTGGCGCAAGCCCAAAGCCAACGGCAAGACGGAAGAAGACAAACGTCGCGACCAGATGGTTGAAGCCGTACTGAAAGAAGCTAAACGTATGTTTTCTCCAATCTCCCATACAAGGCTCATACTGACATCTCCAGTCGACTTCTTCGACTCCACAACCCCCGCAAACCCCCACGCCAACACATCCGCCAACACCGACGACGCCCTCGTCGAGCAGTTCCGCACCGAATACTTCGAATCCATGGAAGCGAAACAACAAGCGAGGAAACCACCTGCTCCCCCCGTCAAGGGCGCGCCGCCGCCTATAACAGGACCCAAACTGGGTGGCAGCAAGAGCGCACGAGCTAAGATGCACAAGTTACAGCAGGAGGAGGCTGCGAGGAAGAAGAGGTAATGTTTGTTGTACATGGATTTTCTGCGCCGTTGCGGTTTGCCCGCTACGAAAGATGCATGGGTTGCCATTTCACGGGATTTGATGCACAATCTTGTTGGATGGTTGTCTTGGATTTTCTTTCTTCGTCCTCTTCGTTCATCAATTTGTTAGAGGGATTAAGGTATTAACACCATTTTTGTTTAGTGGCGCAAGGACGAACGACGGACGAGTGCTTGAACGATCGGAGTGGATGGACACGCAGGTCAAGAAAACGACTTGGTATAGCGGTTAGTGAGATGGGTGTCTGAGGTTATGGCTTCTTCCGGTACGACGACCGAGACTGGGGGGCCGGCCATATAACACAGTATCGGTGCATGGGATAGGCAATTTTGCGTCAAATCCAATGATGGCATATCGATATCTTACATACAAACAACTAAAATACCCAAGACCTAGTCATGTATACTAGTTCAACGCCAAACAAATACCCTGGTTATACTATACCCCCCCAAAAAAAACCTATACCCTTACCCTCATAACACTCATCTCAAAGCTTCCTCGGAGCAGCAGCTGGTTTCTTCGCCGCCCCATTCGCAGCAGTCCCTTTCTTCGCCGTCCCATTTGCCGCACCCCCTATCTTAGCAGGCGCCTTCTTCCCCTCCATCTTCTTCGCCGTCGACAAACCCCCCATCTTCCCCGCCAACTCCCCCGTCTTCTTCACAGCCGCCGCTTGCCCCTTGTTGCTCACTTTCTCAGGCACCTGAACAGCACCGCTAGGCGTCACCTTGATGGGCACACCGCCTGCTGTCATGAACGTAGTCCCCTTCTTCTCTTGTGCCTTCTCAATCTCCTCTTTGCCCACTTTGATCTTGACGCCGTTTGCCATGGTTAGGGTGCCTGTTTTCTTGGCTTGTTCGACGGCGGGTTCGGGGACTTTGATCATGACGCCTGAGGCTGTCATTACTTCTTTCATGGGACCTGTGGGGGGAGATGGGGTGGGCTTTTTGGTTGTGGTTGTGGCTGTGGCTGTGGGGTTCGCGCGGGCGTGTGCGGCGGTGCCTGGTTTAGGTGCTGTGGGTGTGGGTTTCTTCGCTGAGGATGTAGGGAGGTTTACCGCGCTTTGGGCTCGCCTTACTGCTGGGGTCGCAGCAGTGGGCGTTTGCAGCGTCTTGGTCATTGGTGGTGGTAGTGCTGTGCTTGCTCTTCTCATTCCATTGGGCATAACAGCGCCGCTTGCAATAGCTGTTTCTTTGACTAGTTTGGCGAGGTTTTCCTGTGTCAGGCGTTGTACTTCTGGTACTTCTTTTGGTCCTGCGGCTTGTGCGGCGCCCATTTGAGCGGCACCTTCTATCATCTTTTCTAGTTGCTCGGGGCTTGGGAGGCCTTTGATATCGCCGCCTTGACCTAGCAGTGTTTTCATGTGCGTTTGGAAGAATTCTTTGGCGCCGGGTATGGGTAGGTCTTCGGGGGATGCACCGTAGGCTACGGTTAGAGCCATCATGACGGAGGTTATGGGAGCGAAGATCTTGACGAACTCGTTCCAGTTGCCGCTCTTGACTTCGGTTTCGATTTGGACGGCTGGGCGGGGGACGGTTCGGATGCTCTTGTTTCCGCCTCTGCTGCTCTCGCTCTTGGTGTCCATGTCCAGGTGGTTCTTCCAGAAATCTTCTGCGGGGAAGCGGTTGTGGCGGCTGAAGTATTCTAGCATGTAGTCCTTTTCCCTCCAGCGGTTTCTCAGCCAGACTTCGAAAGCGTGTGTGTTCTCGTATGGGATGTCGTCGAGGTGGAATCGTCGCCAATGCATGTTCACTGACTTTGGAGGCCTGCCTTCGAAGAAAGAAGAGCGGAGGGTGAAGATATCTTGACCGAATTGACCTTCTGGCACGCCTTCGTATGCGATGGTACAGTCGTACAGCCAATCTGTCGTTTCCCTCAGTTCATTGAGGCAGAACTTGAGGCCAGTGCTGCGTGGAAGCAGTTGGTGCTTCATATCCTGTAACCCGTTCTTCTTCGCCCATTGCTGGCTCTTTTCGCGTGTAGTCTTGGACAGATTCGTGCCCTCAGGAAAGATGATGAGCCACATGGGGTCGCCTTTCTTGTTCAGCTTGCTGAGATGTTTCTTGAATGTACGCTGGTCTTCCTCCCATTTTCTAGACAGAAAGATGAAGTTGTAGAACTGAGCACCCCATCCAATGATTGGAATGTTCTTCAACGATTCTTTCAGAATAATGTAGATGAAGCCGTGCATGTTGTTCGTATATGCGATCCACCAGATATACAGCCAGTCAGTGTAAAGTTGATGGTTTGCCATAAGGACCATGCGATCAGCGAAGTTGCATTGTAATGATCCATCTTTGCGTTTGATAAGTTGGCCGACCATGCTCGAGTCGCCAGATACACGAACGACAGTCGGAGCCCACCATTGGGTTAGACAGGTGATCAGGATGGCGAAGCATTCTTTGGTATATGCCATGTACCCATCGTAGAATTGCGGGTCAATCAACTTTAGCGGTGCGCCTAGGAATTGGGATGCGCTTATACTGTCAGGTATTAGTTGGGTGTATCTGGAGGTGGGCATGGACGTGCTTACGCCAGAACGCCGGACAAGAACGTCGAGGCTAACGTGAAAGCTCGTTCTGCCTGTGTCAACTCGCCAAAGCGCGGTGGTCCAGCCGGATGCGCTTCGACATTGTCTTTCGAGATCCGCAATCCAGCACCGAGGTCATCCTTTTTCTTCCTCTTGACAGCAGCTGGTACTGGGGGCTTGGATGCTGATTGGCTCGCTGGGGTTGGCTTTGGAGCCGTCGCCTTCTTCACCGGGGGTTTGGCAGCCGGCGATTTGGTAACGACGGGCTTCTTCGTAGCAGTAGCAGGCGACATCTTCCACAGTTGGCACACGAGCGAACATCGACGTCCAAAACGTCAAACACGACTATCAGCACCAGTGACGGGCTACCCGCGACGTCAGTGCAGGCTAACGGTTCCAGGTTCGAGATCAAGATGGATGCTCCACTTGCGCGTCGTCAACCCCTGTCAGCGTGCCGTGGCATGACGTTATGTGTGGCGGCGTACAACCAAGTCAAGCAAGCAAGATATTCGAGACACACCGTTACCCCTTCCTTAGTCTCTTGGTCTACTCAATAACACTATACTCGCTCCGCAGTAGATACGGATTCTCGAGAACGTCTCCATTACATCCCTCTTCCAACAATCCCATCGTATCTACATCACAACTACGGTACGTTCAATTATGACAGCTGTCGGCCCTGGCGCATGCTCGAGTGGTGCACGCGAGCACCTTCATACACATTTGGGCTCGAGACTGACACATATCACAGAATTAATCCGACAACACACATCGCATTCTCCATCATGCCCGCAGCCTCAGTAGCATCAGCGCCGGCAAAGCGCACCACCAACAAGGCCACCGCTTCCAGGGCTCCCAAGAAGGCTACCCAGAGCGCAAAGAAGCCCCAGACGAATGGCGCAACCAACGGAGCGTCACAACCTCAGATGTCACCATACACTATCATGGCTTCGAGGATCGCAAACCGCGTCGCCGAAATGGCAGAGAACATGACATTCGTCGAGCGCGAGAAGTGAGTCGTCCGAACTTCCTTGAATTTTCCCCTGGCATTCTTTTGGTTCCGGTTGCGACGGCGTGGAAAATCAGGGCTGCACTACACAACTGCCGACCGGAATCTGGACCCCTATCGCGTAGTCACTGATCTAGACGTACATTTGCTGACAAGTTCGTGTAGGCCCCAACAGCAAGCGCAACAGCAGCAACAACAGCAGTCTGCCCCTTCAAACTCGGGAAAGAAGCCACCCAGGAAACTCGAGATGCGCATGCCCAACAACGGCGCCTCGCCGACCAACATCACCTTCAGCGCACCTTTCCTCGACAACACACTCGCCAAGCTCCTTACGCTCCAGAACCGTATGCTGACAGTCAGCAACGACATCGCAGCGTGCGAAGACGTAGACGATAAGACCAAGCAGGAGCAATTTGCGCAGAGCGCTGAGTTGAGCCGCATCATTGCTCTGATCTGCGCTGAGAAAGCCAGACAGGGTGCTTAATATGTTACTTTTGTCAAAGCAACGAGTAGTTACGAGCGTTTCTTTTTCTTTTATCGGAGTTGAGGATATGTAATCAAAAGGGTTTGACCGTAGTAGCGCGCTTTGTACGAATAGTATGATTGACGATAAACATAACAAATTGACATACGAATATCATCACAGCACCGTGATACTCAGCCTCAATGCTGTACCGCTTAACGTATTGGTGACATGCCACGGCAGAAAGCTACAACACAAGCTAAAAACCTGCATCAAAAGATCGCCAGCCAGGACTTTGGTTCAGGTCCACATCGCTGTGCCACAATAACGTCATTTGACGCGGGGCGGCAGCGACCCCCCTGCATGCGACGGGTAGCGAAACAGGTTCAAGCTGCGGTGGCGCCAAAGGCCATGCATCATCGGGAGAACATGATCTGGGGTCCAACAGTCTAGAATTATAGAGCTTCTTCCGATACTACCATAGCTCCTCCGTCGAACCTAGCTCTCGACATCAATTGCAGTCGCAAGATCACTATACGTACTATACCATGACGAGCTTCATCTCAAACATCATCTGGAACTCGGTGGAGGGCTTCGTAGATGCCGGAAAGAAGACGGCGGGTGAATATGGTGGTAATGCCTTGATCAAGGCTGGGGATATGATTGAGAATAGTGGAAGGAGTGTGGGAAATGGTAGGCTCCTCTTTACCTCGCCCATCATCCACAATACCTCTCAAGCACTCACTAACATGCGCCCAGGTCTCGAGAAGAAAGCAACAAGCTACGGCACCGCAATCACCGGCCAAACCTACAAACCCACAGCCAAAGCTCTCCCTTCCACAGCACGAAAGCCCGTGGTCAAGCGTTCCAACTCCACCCCCGCGAGCAACAAGCCAACCACCAGTGGAACGCCCCTAGGTGCGAAGAAGTATCCGGGCAGTAACCAAGTCAACGGCGCTGTTGGAGGAGCGAAGAAGACCGTCGGAGGAACAGTCGGAGGCCTGAACAAAACCGTCGGAGGAGTAACAGGCAACGCATCCAAAGCCACCGGCAGCGTCATCGGCCGCGCAAACAGCACCGTCGGCAGCGTAACAAACACCACCACAAAAGCCACCTCCGGCCTCGTAGGCAGCGGCCAAAGAGCCATCGGCGGAGCCACGAAATCTATTCCTCCCTTTAAGGGCCCCGGCGCGACTCCCTCAGCCAACGGCCTCCCCAAACCCGCGTACCCGACGACCAAGAAGGCGGCAGTCAAGCCCGGCCAGCCGAAACCGTTCACGCCGCCTACGGAGCAGAAGAAACCGGATCCGAAGAAAGCTTATCCTGGGACGAATACGCTGCCAGGGACGAGTCGGACGCCGGTTCAACAGCAGAGGTTGAAGCCGTTGCCGAAGGCGGCGCCGCAGATTGGTCAGGGGCAGACTATGTCGCATCTTGCTATTTAGGACGATGAGAAGCGGGGGGGTTTTGGCTTTGGAATGGGGTTGGTATGGCGTTGAGGTGTGGAGGTTTGGGGTGTAAGATTATGGTATGGTGGGTTGGGATTTGATTTGGATGGATATATGAATTGGGGTTTTGTTAGCTGCTTCATCTAGTTCACCATGTTGATGGCCGTGTATTGTTCGAGCATACTTACAAGATGCGCGATTGATCTGGGAATTAGATATGCCTAGTGAGATGCTCTTGACGTTTTTTTTCCCCTCCTGTGTATTCAATGCTGTGCTACAAACAGCATAGATACTATACTTACTTGAGATAGCTCTCTAGCACGCAGCGCGTTTGAAGACGACGCGAGCTCGGAAAGGTTATGGAGACCAGAAATCGCAGAAGAGTTGGACGGCTAGAAACCTGCGCATGGGCTAGAAGAGAACATGTAGACTTTAGTATCGTAGTAAGCATTTTGTCTCTGTTGGAATGGCATTTGATGTGTGTTTTGGAAGCAAGTATGAGAATGGGCTCTTGGTGCTGGTGATATTGGTGTGGATGATATCGCTTTGCAAATTTCGTTCCTCTAAGCCATGGAGGCAAAACCCGACGAGTTGTATCCAACATCGCTTTCGCCTTCGTCTGATGGGATAGTTCAGACATCGTTTCCGTTGTTGGTATTGTGGGAATTGTGGGTGGCTCGTCATCTATTGGTCGCCCCGGTACTCTGGGATGAATGAGCGGGCACAATGTCGTTGATTGATCGCTGATGGCGTTGGTGATGCTGATAATTGATTGATACCCACATAGGTAGGTACGTACACGTGGACGGTACTTCGCGTACTTCACATGACCGCACGCGGGAAAAATGAAAGCCTCGGAGCTGCTTCGTACGGAGGATAATAGAGACGACCTGGAAGCCTACCTCGTATTAGGACCTGACCATCTTTCCCTTGCTGCCTTAATGTATCCTGCAAAGCACCTGTCCATTTCTCTCTTGTGTGGGGTGACAGCGTCATGACGTTCTCATCCACCATAATGTTCAGCCTCAAAGACAAACACAAAGGGTAAAGGCAGCAGTCTGAACTCTACTTCGTTGAGAATTTCGGCCGGTCTGCGGTGAGCGGGCCTAATTCCGTTCCGTCCACGATGTGCATCCCCCAATGTCGATCTCCCCGCCCCAGCCCCACCCCATCACACTTTATCCCCAACACAGCGCATCAGACCGCCTATCATGAAGCTTCGGGGTGGAGTCGTACCGATCTCGGCATTTGGTTAAGCTTCGGGATGGGTCTTGGAGTGCTTAATATGCTCGCCTCCCCTGCTGCGCTCCCGCGCGCTGCCGTTCTTGCTTTACTACACACTGTTTTGAGACTGTGCGCCGATTAAGATGCGTTTCTTTACTTCGAAAGACCCGGAGAGCGTGGACCAGAATGAGGAGAAGAAGGTCGAGATGATGAAAGAAGGAGACGGAGACGCAGAAGCCGGGCCAGCTGCACGGGTGGAAGACGAGATTGACCCGGTGATCGAGAAGCGTGTGCGACGGAAATTGGACACCCATATCGTGCCTTTGCTATCGGCACTGTATCTGCTGGCATTTCTCGATCGGTCAAATATTGGGTATGAAGAAACATCTTTACAATGGATAAGGCATGGCTAATGTGGCATCAGCAACGCGCGAATCGCCGGCATGGAAGAAGATCTCGACCTGAGTAGTTCGCAGTACCAGTGGCTACTTACCATATTCTACATCTCGTACATCGTCTTCGGGTTCCTCGCAATCATGTGGAAAGTCGTTCCACCGCATATTTGGGCCGCGGGCTGCGTATTCGTCTGGGGCCTCGTTTCGACCGTACAAGCTGCGACAACTTCATGGGGTGGGATGATGGCACTGCGGTTCCTCATGGGAGCTGCAGAGATAGCATATGGGCCAGGCGTGCCATTTCTGCTTTCATTCTTCTACCTGAGGCATGAACTTGGGCTCAGGTGTGGGTTGTTCCTATCGGCTGCGCCGCTAGCCAACACGTTCGCAGGTGCTCTGGCCTATGGAATTACGAGCGGTAATCCTGGAATGGCGAAATGGCGCGTATTGTTCTTGGTAGAAGGCTTGCCTACAGTCGTTATGGCTGCGGTTGCGTTCTTTTTCCTACCAGATAGTCCGGAAAAAGCGAAGTTTCTGAATGAAGAGGAAAAGGCGGTTGCGAGAGCTCGTGGTGTGGCACAGGCTGGCGCTGGAACAAGAATTGGAGCTATCAACTGGAAAGAGATGTTGGAGGGACTGATGGATCTAAAAGGCTGGATACTCGGTGTAAGTCTGACAACGCGATGTGGTGGTACTTAACTGACCTGGATAACAGCTCATGTACTTCTCCGGGAACGTTGCATTCTCGTCATTGCCGGTGTTCCTCCCGACAATCCTCAACGAAATGGGGTTCTCGAAGGTCAACGCGCAGGGACTCACAGCACCGCCATTCTTCTTATCCTTCCTCACAGTAATCGCCACATGCTACATCGCAGATCGGACGCAACAGCGAGGTATCATGATCGCTATCCTCACGGCCATTGGAGGGATTGGCTATGTGATCCTGGCGACCACGAAGAGCGTAGGAGCGAGATATTTCGGAGTCTTTCTGGCTGCTGCTGGTATTTTCCCAGCTATAGGCAATGTACTGCCTTGGGTCACGAACAACCAAGGCAGCGATACGAGGAGAGGCACTGGGATAGTAATTCTGAACTTGATCGGCCAATGCGGACCTCTGCTGGGGACTCGATTGTATCCCAAATCAGAAGGGCCATTGTACGTCAAGGGCCAATCCGTATGTGCTGGATTCATGTTTCTGTTCTGCCTGCTATCTCTTTTGCTGAGGACAATTCTTGCTTGGGAGAACAAGAAGCTGGATCGCAAGTACGGGACATTGGCGCAGCAAAGGGAAACCGGTGGGAGCAAGAGGGAATTAGGCGAAAACTACGGCCCAAGATTTCGCTACGTTTTGTAGGTGTAGAACTGCCAATGATAAACGAAGCTGTTATCGCACTGCGGTGCCACTCGATATGCAGCTTGACGCGGGGTATGCTGAGGCCAGAGAGATACCAAGTATGCAATTGTTTCATCGGCTTGATCGAAAAGTGTCCCATGCTCTTTCTAATCTATTGATGACTAGTGACGCACGGAATTACCATTACAGGTCGGGGTAGTGTAAACAAGCGTAATAGCGCCAAATCAAGTGCTAGGGCGAAGCAATGGCGCATGCAGGATTGCCATGTTCCCGAACCGGCAATTGACCACGCGACAGCCGTTGCTCAGAACAGCCACCAACGTGTACAAACCAGTCGTCGCACTGACATGCAGACTGCAGGGCATTGTCGCGGAGATGGCGACAGAGATGGGGTTGCTGGCAGCAGTGTGCGCGAGATCCACCGGATGGTTCACACATGCGAACTGCAAAGCTGGAGAGGCTAGACCCCCCGGGCGGGCCCACACTTCCAGGGCACGGACACCGAGTAACGTCACTGGTAGATTCAGGACGAGATTCGCAGCAAATCCACACTCAGCACTTCCGACGCGCTTTTCCACCCACTCTCCTGCGTGTCTACTTATCAGTGGCCCATCATTGCTGCACACCCCCGTCACGCAGCATTAACACTGCAATTGTTATCTTGATCCACGCGCTTTCCCGTAATGGCCTCAAATCCGTCTGGCCCTGCTGGCCCCGACGCCGGCACTGCTGCCACCTCCAGCAGCCCTTCGTATGCGGCAGCTGCAGCCGCTCCGCCTAAGAAGAAGAAGACGCATCGCGGTGGTAAGAAGCGCAAAAACAGGAGACAGAGTTTTGCAGCTGGAGCCGATCTCGCGCAAGGCGATTCCATGATGGAGGAGCGCCCGAGTCTAGCCAATGTCGCCAGCCATGGGCAGTCGCGAGGGAGCAACGGCTTCTATCGCACCCACAGCAACCTCAGCAACACAAGCCTTGAGAGCGAGGCTCTGCTGGACCACCGCGAGCAGCCTACCATCCGGACGCGTCGTCCCAGTGTGCCTGTAACGTCCATGTACCAGCCGAGGGCAAGTCAGCCCAGCGTCAGCACGCCTCAGCGTCTTCAAGCCGCAAACTCCTACGGTCGCTCACGCCTGTCGCATACGCCTGAGGAGAACTACAGTGATGGCGAAGACGATGCGGATGATAGAACGCCACTCATGGGTTCGTCTCAACGCGACATCAGGACATCCACCAGCTATGGCACCAACAACGGCAAGCCTCGCCGAGGAAGCAAGAACTCCGCAAAGAGCTTCAAGCATATGCCCATGCCAGAACACAGGCCGGATCTGTTCACTCAACACCACCACTCTACAACCAACCTCGACGACTACGACGTAAACAACCCGCCATCCGTACCTACGAGCCCAGCTTTCGAGGCTAGTAGCGGTCTAGACGATGTTATGCTCCCGACAGACTTGGATCACATGTCCGACCCAGGAAGGTCCAACAGTGCATCTCGAGATGCACTCATCAACATCGATGAGGACGCCCATTCAGGCACTCCACCTACTCCGGGCGACTTCGCACGCCGCATGACCGGTTCTGCGCTTGAAGATGTCTGCTTCCCCCACGAGGACATGTCTGAGATGGGACACGAAGATTACATGAACGCCCCCACGACCGGTGAGCCTACCACTCGCCGAAGACGCCGCCGCTGGCCCGATCTCGACGTTCTACAAGCTTGGGCACACGAGGAGAAGGAACAACGGACAATTGAAGGCATGCGCATGCGCAAGGTTAGCGAACCGCTTATGGTTGAAGGACGCCTCCGTCCGAAACGACGCGTCTGGCATCGCGAGGACAGCGACGCTCCCTATCGCTTCACGTACTTCAACGAGACGTTTGACAACACCATTCACAGCCAGAGCATCAGCGAACTCTTGCAACCTGGGCAGAGCTTCAGGAATCTTTTCGTTCCTGATCCACCCATCCTGGACGATGACAGCGATTCTTCCGACACAGAAGATGACATGCTGCATGCTGGC